CTATAGTCTTTTTATATATTATCTTCTTAATATTATAAGTAAGTTTCTTTAGCCTATTTATATATTAATTATATATTAAATATAAATAATATATATCTTTATTAAATAATTATAGTTAATAATACTTACTTTCGACTAGTAGTTTTATTCTCTTTAAAATAACTACTTTTACTAACTCCTATATAATAGGTAGAATTAATCTACTAAGTAATAAGAATTCGAGTAAATTAAGAAGAAATACTAGTAAGAAGCTAAGAAGGAAGCTTATTCTTAAATTAATTTAAGATTTCTAGCTACTCTTCTATCGAATTACTAATAATCTTCTATATTTATTTAAGAGAGATAGTAATATAGAGATACTAGATAATAAAATAAGCTAGATATAAATAAAATTTCTTTATAAATATATATAAAATATATATAGAGTATATAATATATATATATTATAAATATTTATCTTATATAAATCTCGAATTAAGTCCTATAAGATAATTACTAAATCCTTAATTTAATTAGTATAGGGGTAGTATATATATAATATATAGATAATATACTAAGGCTTTATTTTTTATATATATCTATAGTAATCGTTCGAATATCTAAGGTACTATTATTACTTAGTCTAGCCTAATAGACTTAATAGACTAGCTATTATATAATATTTTTAAGGATTATAAAAAGCTTTTTAAATATAATATAATAGTATTTACGACTATTAGCGTTTATAAAAACCTAAGTATAGGTATATAATACTAATTATATTAGTAAGGGAACTAGTAGGGAATATAAATTAATTTACTTACTATTCGCTTCTTCGACTATTCTAATAAATAAGAAAACGCTTATCTTTCTATTTACTATCTTAAAAGTAAGGTCTATTTTAATATACCGCGTAAAGCTAAAGCGTTTAGCCTATATATATATATAATATATAATTATAAAATACTATTTTTCTTTATTAAATATATATATCTTATAGATAAACTAGTCCTTAAGTTCCTTTAGTTAATTAGAGTAGAATTCGCGGATAATACTATCTAGGTATATACTATCTAGATAGTAAAGGATTCTCTATTTTAAAATTAAAGTTAAGATCCTATTAGCTATTAAGAATATTTTCTTTATAGCTTTAATTATAGATATATAATTTTTATAGAAGATTTCCGTATACTTAGATAATCTTATAAACTACTCTATATATATAGTTAATATATATAGTATAAGATAAGTATAAGAAGGGTATTTACTTATAATTAAACTAAGGGGATCTTATCTTTTAAGTATCTTTATAATCTTATAAGTAATAGTATATAATAGCTTTATTAGTAGCGGTAGAAAGTACGAATAAAATCCTCGATAAAAAATAAGATAGAATAGAAACCGATCCTATAAGACTAGAATATAGATATTAATTTTAGTAGTATACTTAATAATAATAAATATATTAATACTATCTATATAGATCGAGTTTAGTATATAGTTAGTATATATTAAGTATAAGTTATATTTAAACTTACTATATATAGTTCTTCTTTCTATAAAATACTATATAAAATAATAGTCTTAGGATCTAAGACCTTTTATAACTAGATTACTATCTTTTATATAGAGGATTTATAGAATCTTAAAATTAACCTAATAAATAATTATATTAAGATATTAAGTAAAGTACTAGTTATTTCTATTAGCTATAAAAAAATAGCTAATAAAATATTACTAGATATAATATATTAGTATTTATATATATATTAAGAAAGATATATATATATCCTACTACTTATCTAAATATATAGCTTTATATAGTAATATATATATTTATTATAAGAATACTTATATAGCTTTTTTTTATTTATAGTCTATACTTATATAAAATTAAAGTAATATCTATATATAGTATAAGCTTAGTATATATTAGATATAAGTATAATTAAATTAGAGCTTATACTCTTATTCGCTTATAAATCTTTATATTAATATTATAAGTATAAGATAATATTATAATTTTCTTAGTATAGAATTTATAGAATAGTATTAGCTTTACCTAGTTATATCTTAGCGATAATTAGATAAAATTAGGATAAATATATCGATAATATTATATCCTAGAATATATATAAATATAATAATATACTTTTAATTCTTAGTCTTTTAGAGATTTCTAGAGGAATTTTAAATTACTCTTCTTAATAAAGTATTTTAAAAAATAAAGCGAGAATTAATACTAGATATAATATATTAGTATTAAGTTTTATATATACTAAGTATATAGTAAATATATAAGAGATATACTACTAATATAAGTCTTATAAATATCTTATTTAGACTTTCCTTATTAATAAACTAGCGTTAAAGGGGATTCTTCTCTATATAAATAATATATAAGATACTATCTTTATTAGTATCTAGATAGTCTAGAAGGATAATATACTCTTAGATTTTATAAGTAACTATCTTCCCTATACTAATACTAATATCTTTTAAATAAATATATATTATAGTAATACTAGTAAAAGAATTATTATTTCTAAAGCTTTAGTCGTCGAGGATTCTATTAAAATATTTATCGGAGTCTTAAGAGTCTTTATCGGAGTATTTATAGGTAGCTTTATCTATAAAATACAGAAAATAAGACTAAGTAAATATAATAATTAGTATATATTTAGTATATATTTTTATATACTAAATATATACTTAATATATACTTAATATATATAAAATATAACTTACCTATAGAATATTAAATAAGAGATAATTAAGCCTATCTAGAGTAGAAGGACGTATAGTACCGCGAACCGTTCCTCTTAGAGGTAGTAGAAATATAAAAAATAAAGGAATATTATAAAAATAACTCTAGTTAGGTAGTATTAGATCTATAGTAGAGGGTATATAGGATACGTAAGGTTTATAGGGGTAAATAAAAGTCAGATAAAAAAATAAAAATTAGAGAAAAAAGATTATAGTTATATAATTAAATGAATTTAGGTATCCCTAAGGTCCGCGACCTAGGACGTACTCAATATTAGACGATGATATAAGCAGGCTTGGCGGGTATCCCGGAGTTTTTTTTCGAGTACCCCCGGGCTGGTAGCCCGCATTAAATTCTCCAGCCAGTTGAGCTGAGCGAGCAGATTTCATTCGATTCTTGATCGCCCCGGGTTCCAGCCCGGGGGTACTCGAAAAAAAAGCTCCGGGATACCCGCCAAGCCTGCTTATATCATCGTCTAATATTGAGTACGTCCTAGGTCGTGGACCTCAGGGATACCCAAATTCATTTGATTATATAACCATAGTCTTCTTTTTCCAATTTTTAATTTTCCGTCTGACTTTTATTTACCCTCTTTACCCTCTATAATCAGGTGACTCCGTAAAAGTGTTAATACCTTTTACTACCGCCTTCCTAATTAATTATACCGCCTCCTTTATTTCTTACTAGCAGAACCTACAATATAGCCGTACTAGGCGCCTAATAACCGGCCTAACCCCCGAACGAACGCCGGAGCGGGGGCGTCCCTAGGGTAGAGAAAACCGAAACGTTTATACTACTATAACGTACGGTCGGAAAATACTAAAAATTAGTAGAGTATAAATAGACAATTTAATAAAGATATATACGAGATTTAAAGCCGATCGAATAGACGTAGAGGGAGAAAAGCGAAAAAGAAAAGGTTAAACGGTTTGATAGGGTAGAAGTATAAAGAAATATATAACTAGTTAGTTATATATATATACTCGGCGTTTATAAAAATTCTAGTATAGGTTATACTGGAAGATACTAATATTATACGAAACATATTATAACCTAGAATTGATATAGAAACAATGTTAAAAAGTAAGTAAATAAAAGATATTTTATAGTATTTGGGATATGTATAGATATACTGAGTACGGAGTAGTTGTGGTGCATTTTAGTGTGGTATGGGGCTACGCCAAGGGTTGGTATGATTGGACTAAATGTATTTTATATAATCAAATGAATTTGGGTATCCCTGAGGTCCACGACCTGGGACGTACTCAATATTAGACGATGATATAAGCAGGCTTGGCGGGTATCCCGGAGCTTTTTTTTCGAGTACCCCCGGGCTGGTAGCCCTGATCGCCCGTGCTGTGACCCTTCTTACCACAGTGCCGAGTATAATTCTCATTGACAATATGTAATATGGATAAGATGGAATCAAAATGCACTCAAAAATCAGAGATTGGTAGAAATATATTCCACAATAAGATATAACTATGTATTTGTTGGCATCTTGTAGGGGAGATTACTACAGTTAATGACGAGAGGAAGCTTGTGAAATACGTCGATGGCCATAGTTATGACTGTACAACATATTCATCTCTCTCTTTCCTTGGCTCCACTACGATTTTATCCGTTACAGTGAGAACCAAGGGCAATTGGCTTTGTCTCAGATCCAGGCGCTAGCGCGCCCATTCTAGCAGATACGGGGTATAGATCGTCTCTTTCCCCTGTAGATCCCTGCTGCAGTGGCCACTAGAATGGCAATTTTCCGAAACTTTCTCCGTATATGTGGGTCAAACATTGAGAATACTATATGCAGAGGATGTGTTCGCGTCCTCAGGATAGACTAAATTTACGACAACGCGAATGGTATTGCATTTTAAAGATTATTTGTGGAGAAGTTAATAAGGACATTGTTTGGTATATGGTCAAGTGAGTGCGGAGTACTCCGTAGTTTCATATCCATAGGTAGACATCACATGCCAAAGACATGTTGGCTAGTTAACTAACTAAACCTATGAGGAACATGTCGAATATTGCAGTATCAGCTCACAGCCCCACTTAAACTACAATAAAGCCAGGTTTCATATAAAAATTTCCGTCACCTCATTTGAGACACTTTCGACAAGTCTCGACAAAATGCAACAGCAATCTTGGCAGGACCCAGGCTTAAGAAGTGCCACTGCCTCTAGTAAACGTCAATTATTTATTCTATCTAAGTGAACCATTTTTGCCAAGCATCTTCTCAGTCATTGCCGTCAACATGAAATTCAGCTTTGCTCTATTCTTCGCGGCTGTGGCAGTTGCAGACAGCCCAGCCAAGAGGGCCGGTACGATCTCTGTTGCTGGCTCGCCCCCAGGGTTCGCATCCGGAGTCACCGGAGGTGGAAAAGCGGCGCCAGTTTATCCTACCGATGTCAAGAATCTAATCGAGCTTCTGGGTTCTGATGATCCTCAGGTCATCGTTATCGACAAGACATTCAACTTCATCGGAACGGAAGGAACAACGAAGGGAACCATTTGCAAGTCATATGGCGCCTTTGAAGACGGTTGCCAGTCCACGATCGATATCGGAAAAGGGTGCGATGGTAAACAGTCCGAGCAGTATGAGTGGGATACTGCTGCAGTCGAAGGAATCCGTGTCCACTCAGACAAGACGATCATCGGAGTCGGAAACAAGGGCGTCCTCCTCGGCAAAGGCTTGAGAATCGTCGAAGCCTCCAACATCATTATCCAGAACATCATGATCACCAACCTTAACCCACAGCTGGTCTGGGGTGGTGATGCGATCACACTCTCCAACACTTCTAATGTCTGGGTTGACCATGTTACGGTTAGTCAAGCTTTCCCTGATATTGGCTTTATTGAATACTAACTAGACTGGCTATAACTAGACTCAATACGCTGGTCGTTGTCACTACGTCTTCGGTCAAGAAGCGAACGCTCATGTTACTGTCTCCAACAGCTTCATCAATGGCGCAACCAATTTCTCTACTTCGTGCGACGGACAACAATACTGGGGATTGGAACTTGTCGGGGCTGACGACCAGATCACGTTTGCAAGTAAGTGTTTCGAACCACACTTCCCTGATCCCCGTCTATACGAACCTAGGAGACATTAACATCTGTCTGCTAGACAACTACGTATACCGCACATCGGGCCGCAGCCCTGCACTGAGCGGCAAGACTCTATTCCATGCCGTCAACAGCGTGTGGGAGGATAACACCGGCCACGCACTCGAGGGCACCGATGATGGCCAAGGTCTCTTTGAAGGCTGTGTCTTTAACAATGTCAAACAAATTGTCGGGGATTTCGTCGGCCAACTCTTTAGCTCCCCGGATGCTACTGCAAACAAAGCATGCTCCGCTGCGCTGAAGAGGGACTGCGTGTCGAATATTCAAGTTGAGAGTGGTCCTTTTACGAATGCGGATACCAAGTTCTTCTCTAACTTCGACGGTCTCACCGTCGCAACTGCAAGTGCAGCCTCGGCGGCCCAGGCAAGCGTCCCAACCACTGCCGGAAACACCCTTAACAATGCCTAATCGCGAAGAAGAGCGGGATCACACAGAAGAGGAAGGATAGAAGATTGAGCCGAGTAAGAGGAAAAAAGGCTGAGAGGGGGTGACCTGGCTGTTGTGTGGGATGAACAGGAGAAGCAGGGTTCATATAGAAAAGAGTGGCCTCTAAGGACAACCTTGGAAACACGGCGCGCTTAGTAATTCAGTTTATACATATCGACCACCTTGACTCTTCGCTAATAGCCTAAGACAATTTGTAGGTGGCGTGAAGGGGCCACATAAGTGACTTGGTATACACGAAGTGGATCATTTGATTTAACAGCTTGGACTACTTATTAGGGTTTAGTGACCGTTGGCGAACTGGGGAAGATATGCGGGGAAGATGTGAAGAGAGTGAGAGTGCTTATGTCGGATTGGGTACGAGACTTCCATATGTCGATTATGAAGATATCCCGAGGTCTTCTCAAGTGCTGACAAACACCGACCGACGCCAAGACCTACCACGGGCGACTAAGTGGACCATCCAAACATAACTCTCTCATTGGTTATTACCTCACCGCCAATTTCATTACCGCCTTCTTGAAGCATTTGTATGTTGTATACAAATAAAAAGCTTCGTTTTAGACACTTGCAAACCGCCATAAAACATAAAGATATCTATATCTATATGCTGATAAGAAGCCTTATTTTGACACTTGCGAACCGCCACAAAATGCCGTGGAGATATCTATATTTGTATACTAATAAAAGGCTTCATTTTTGATACTTGCATACCGCCACAAAATATCGAGATATCGAAATTTGTATACTGGTAAAAGGCTTTATTTTTGACACTTGCAAACGCTAGCAAAATCAGGCTATTTTGATTATTTTGATTATTTGATTTTGAAATTTCAAGGGAGGTGTTCTGGTCTAGCCGCTAGGCAAAAGCTAGGCATCAAGGTATCAACATTTACTACCGCTGTATATACGAAGTGTCAATTTTATAATAAATATACCAATTGATTTTATCTCGCCTAGGTATTTTAATGAATGAATGAATGCCCGTCTAAAATAAAGTAGAAGGTGAACTAATAATAATTCAGTCAAAGGTGGCATACTAGTTAACTATAGATTCAACATGGTACTTGTGAAGTGAGAGTGGATCTAAATTACTGCCTGGCAATATAAACCAATGAGAGAGTTATGTTTGGATGGTCCATTTAGTCGCCCGTCGGGTTCCAGCCCGGGGATACTCGAAAAAAAGATCCGGGATACCCGCCAAGCCTGCTTATATCATCATCCAATATTGAGTACGTGCTAGGTCGCGGACCTTAGGGATACCCAAATTCATTTGATTATATAAAATATATTTAGTCCAATCATACCAACCCTTAGCGTAGCCCTATACCACACTAAAATATACTATAACTACTTAGTATATCTTATATATCCTAAATACTATAAAATATCTTTTATTTACTCACTTTTTAATATTATTTCTATATTAATTCTAGGTTATAATATATTTCGTATAATATTAGTATCTTCTAGTATTGTGATCCCAGAGGCCACTTATGTAACTAGATTTGCATCATTGGCCCTTGTGCATGTCCGTACAAGACATGCCAAGGCCCGAACCTACACGTTCGGGTGCTATGGGCACCCGTACTAGTAGGGTATTTAGATATTAGTATTCCTAACATAATAGAAACCATACGATACTTCACGAATCTTATCTAGTAGCATATCGGTATAAGCTACCTCCTATAGTAGCCTAGGGAGGTATAAGATAGTATCTCTAGAAGGTCTAATCGGACCTAAGAGATACTAATTAATACCCTCTCGTACTATCCCGATAACGATCTAGCGGACCTACTAGGCTAAATATAAAGATACTATAGAAAATATTTTAACTACTCTACTATCTAAAAATAAGGGAATAGCTTCTACCCCGGAAAAAGAGAAGAAAAAGGGGTCCTAAAAACCCCCGAACGGAGAGGGGAAGTAAACCCTAACGGCCCTATAGACCGATAAGGAGTAGAAAATAACTATAATAATACTATATATACTATATTTAGCGGAAAAAGATCTATATTTAGGCGCTATTATAAGAAGATAATAGCCTCCTAATCTAATAAAGGGAAAAATAGATTTAGAAAAATCACTTTTCTCTTAAGATAGAACTATTTAAATCTAATCGAAATAGCTAAGAATATCTCCTAGTAAATACTTAAGACTTAAGTCTACTCTCGGCTTAGTCTAGAGATAAATAAAGCGCTTAATATCTTAACCGAAAAAGAACGAGATATATTTATCGAATTATATATTATAATTAACTAAGGACGCGTCGATCTTATTATTATATAAGCTATATAAAGGGTTAGGATATCCTAATAGAGATAAGCCGAAGCGGCGTAGCTTATAATAGCTATCGAAGCTATTAATATAACCTAAGCTAAGATAGTCTAGCTTATTATATCTTTTAACGCTATTATAGCGGCTTTTAATACTATTAAGAAGGCCCCTTAAAGACCTCCCTCTTTTTAAGAAGAAGGTAGGATAGCTCTAAACGCTTCTATATAGATCTAAATTCCGATATCTAAGAATATTATAGGTATAGATAAAGAGACCTAGAAAAGGTTCTTAAATAATCTTAGGGTAATTAATAACTTCGACGGGATAATCCTTAATAACGTTATATATAAATAGACGCGCGACTATAACTAGTACTTTTAGGAACTATTTAAGCTTACTAGATATAACTCTTCTAATTAAGTAAAGATCTTATATATATCCGGAAAGCTAGTAAGACTTATAAGGTAACGATTAGAATAATATAAGAAATACCGCGCCCTTTTCTAGCTCGAAATCTTCGAGATATAGTTAGACTTTAAAGTATAGCTCTAATAGGAGTTCGCGAAGTACCTATCTATTAAGAAGTTATATAAATAGTATAAATCGATTAAGTAAAGAAACTAATTAATCTAAGAATATACTTCTAATCTCTAATAAGTTATTTTTAATCTAGACTAGAATATTCCGGACTTAATATTTATCTAATAATTTATAATTAGAATAAAATCTCTTTATTAAGCTAAATAGGTAGAAAAATAGGATTAGTCTAAAAAATTTTAAGATATTATTATTTTATTCGCCTAATATAAATAAGAATAGGCTATCGCTTATTAATATAAGATTACTTCCCGCTACTTTAATATAATAAATATCGATAATAAGATTTTTATAGCTATAGATTTATCTACCTAGCTAGCTATAGATTCGAAAGAGATCTAAGAATATTATAATTATAAAAAGAAGGATTATTTAGCCTATAATTACTACTAAATAAAGATAGAAGAGACTAAATAAAAATAAAAGGCTATCTTTAAACGGTCTATAAAAAACTAGTATAGCCGTATAATATAAAAGCCCTCGTCGGCTATCTTAATAAGACTCCCGAACTATTATAATTTAATATAGATAACGTTCTCGATCTTAGTTATTATATAAATATATCTAGATAGGCTTAGCTAGAGCTCTCTAAATAATAGAGAACCTTATTATCTCTCTTAGCCTCGCTTAACGTATTTAATAACTCTCTTATATTCTATTAAGATAAAATTAAGACGAGAAACCGATAGACTACCCTTATCTATATACTTCTCGATAATAGAGCTAGCGATATATTCGTCTTATCTCGGGTACTCTAGAAACTTAGTATATAGATTTAGATCCGGAAATCTAAGATACTTTTAATAGTTACTATTATAAATAGTAAATAACTAACTACTAAAGGATTCGTAATCCTTCTAACTAAGATTAGTAATTAAATAGGATAGATTAAAGCCTAAATACTTCTTATAGAGTACGATATTATCCTAGGGTAGGATTTCTTTAAAATTAAAAATTTATATATTAATTAGTAAATCTCGATTATAATCCTTATAAATTATAATTACCGGACCTATAATATTTATCCTATAAATAATAACCGAACGATTTATACCGGAAAGACCTATACTAATTTAATATTTATCTAGTAGATATACTAGTTCCTTTAAAAGAAAAATTATAAAGGATATCTCTTTATAGTCCGTTATATAAGTAAAGAATCTAAAAGATCTAAATCGGAACTACTAATCTATAATAATCCTAGAATTTAATAGATTCTAATAAAATATAAAAGATTATTCCGGGTAAAACTATCTATAGCCCTTCTACTAGAATATAATATAGCTTATAAAGTTTATATTAGTACGAACTAACTTATTAATATTAATACCTATAGTCTTTTTATAGAGAAGCTCGATAAATAGACTAAATAAATTAAAAAACTTCTCTAAAAAGACCTAATCCGATAGTCGAGTAGCGCCTAGGGTTTCTTAGTAGTATTTATAAAAAAGCTATATAGGAAATAGCGTATATATATTAATTATTAGGCCCTTAATTCTATAATAGAGAAAAATAGATACCCGCTTCTATAAATCTATAAGCTTCTAAATATTATTAGAAACGCCTAAATCCTATCGAAAATCGATTTAATAGCCGGATACTAGTAAATCTATATAAGATAAAGGTCGGTTAAAAAGATAGCTTTTAATATAATCTAAAGTAAGTATAAATAACTAGCTATACCGTTCGGGCTTTATAACGCCTCTATTATATTCTAATTAATTATAAATAATATATTACGCCCTCTTTTAGGTTATAATATAATAGTCTATTTAGACGATATCCTAATCTTCTCTAATTTAATAGAGGAATATCGGAAATATCTTAAGTAGGTACTAATACTACTAGGCGAATAAGAATTATACGCTTTACCTACGAAATATATATTTATAATACGCGAACTCGAATTTTATAGTTATATTATTAGTAATAGAAATATATAGCCCCTTTTAGCTAAGATCGAAGCTATATAAATCTAGCCGCGGCTAAAAACTATTTATAACGTCCGATAATTCTTAGATTTAGCTATTTACTACTATAGATTTATTTATAACTTCTTAAAGGTATATATACCCTTTTATAAACTTTTA